AAGAATCTTATCAGGATGATCACAAGTTTTCCTGTGACAACTGCCAGGGCATGCCTCCAACTCCTGGGTCACATGGCAGCATGCACGTATGTGGTATGCCATGCCAGACTCAGGATGCGCCCCCTTCAGCTCTGGCTGACCTCGACATTCTCCCAGGCCAGAGACAGGTTGGACAAAGTCCTCACCATGCCCAAGTCCATACTAGCCTCCCTCCTTTGGTTGACCACTCCGGAGAACATGTACTAAAGAGCTGCTCCCCAACTATAGAGTTGGTGTCCAATACATCGGACTGAGGATGGGGAGCCCATGTGGGAGACCTCCAGACCAAGGCCTGTGGTCCGTGCAGGAACTAGTCCTGCACATAAACATCAAAGAACGCCGAGCAATCCGTCTGGCTTGCATGGCCTTTCGCTCGTGCCTTACAGGCAGAATAGTCAGAGTTCTCACAGACAATACGGGTGTGCTCCAGGAGGGGCCTGGGCAAGGGCGCAATTTCTAACACCTTTCTTCTGTCCTGGTCGGGTCAGCTGCTATATGCCTTTCCTCCAATTCCGCTGATCAGCAAGGTCCTGGAAAAAATCAGGACAGACAAGGCTTGCATCCTCATGATCAACCCAGCATGGCTCAGGCAACACTGGTACAGGACTCTTATGAACCTGTCCATTACCTCCCCTTCCCTCCCCCGTGGCCACTACCAACCTGCCCAGACCTTCTCTCTCAGGACCAAGGTTGCCTCCTCCGCTCCAACCTTGCAGCCTCCACCTCACGACGTGGTTGCTCAATGGTTAGGCCAAGAGGAAAGAACCTGTTCAGAGGGCGTCCAGCGAGTCCTCCTGGAAAGCAGGAAGCCCTCCACAAGTCAGGCTTACCTGGCAAAATGGTCAAAGTTCTCTCAATGGGCCACTGATCGTAGCATCTCGCCAGTGGCTGCCCCACTCCAGCTTATACTGGATTACCTCCTTCATCTCAGAGCTCAAGGCCTAGCGCCCTCGTCCGTCAAAGTGCATCTGGCAGCCATATCGGCCTTCCACCCGCCTGTGCAGGGCAACACAGTATTTTCTCACGCCATGACCGATCGGGCTTGGATCACCTCTTTCCTTATGTTAGGCCCTCTGTTCCATAGTGGGACCTGAACTTGGTTCTGGCCAGGCTGACAGAGCCTCCATTTGAGACGGTTGCCACGTGCTCCTGGTTCCACCTTTTGTGGAAAATAGCCTTTCTGGCAATCACGTCTGCTAGGAGGGTCTCAGAACTCTGGGCCCTGACCTCCAAACCCCATATACGGTATTTCATAAAGATAAGGTCTCGCTCCACCCACACCGTTCGTTCCTCCCCAAGGTGGTCTCCGCCTATTATATGAGCCAGGACATTTTCCTTCCAGTGCTCTGTCCCAAGCCTCACGCGTCTAGTGAAGAACGCCGTCTTCACATGCTGGATGTGAGATGGGCTCTGGCTTTTTATCTGGAATGAACAAAACCGTTCAGGAAGTCTTCACAGCTGTTTATTGCCACGGCCGAATAAATGAAGGGTCGGCCGATCTCCACTCAGCAGCTCTGCAGCTGGATCACTTCATGTATCTGTACTTGTTACGATCTGGTGGGTGTTCCCCCGCCACCGATTGTAAGAGTGCACTCGACAAGGGCACAAGCCTCTTCGACCACCTTTCTGGCTCACATCCCTATTCAGGACGTTTGTAGTGCTGCTACATGGTCATCGGTCCACACGTTCACCTCGCATTATGCGATTGCCTCCCGGATCAGGGAGGACGCCGGGTTCGGCAGGGCAGTGCTCCGTCCTGAGTGTCTGTGAACTCCTACCCACCTCCAACAGGTATAGCTCGGGAATCACCTACTGTGGAATGCACATGAGCAATCACTCGAAGAAGAAAAGACAGTTACCTTTTCCGTAACTGGTGTTCTTCGAGATGTGTTGCTCGTGTCCATTCCACATACCGCCCTCCTTCCCCACTGTCAGAGTTGTCTGGCAAAAAGGAACTGAGGGTGGGAGGAGTGCGCAGCGCCCCTTATACTGCGCCATGGTGGCGCCAGTCCAGGGGTCGCTATGGGCACTCTCCTACTGTGGAATGGACATGAGCAACACATCTCGAAGAACACCAGTTATGGAAAAGGTAACTGTCTTTTATTTGTTGAGATTTGTCCATAACTAAGGAGAGAATATACACCGCTCTGGAACAAGTAGTTAATTTTTTTTATATCATCCATCAGAGAGCAGTAACTATCAATCCACAACAGGGATATTTGGCACCCTCTGCTGGTCTCTTCTTCCATGAAATATCCCATTGCAAGTTTTTCTGCCTCTCTCCAAGGGTAAAATTCACCTCTGTGCAGAGGACTAGTTTGAGGTCTGTGTGCTCTCTGTGCAAGGGAGAATTTCACTCAGAAGATTTCAGTAAGCAGTATCTGATTAGGGGTGTGGAAGATACAAATGGCTGAGGAAAAAAGCAAATGACATGCTGAACTCTGCACTGCTTGTGAGGAGACAGGCGCTAACTGTGTAGGTGGATCAGACAGATGTAATGTCTCTTGGCCTATTGTCAGGCATTAAATCACTGAAGAGTCTTGGTCTTAGTTCCTGACAAGGTAAGCCTTCCTAAGTTGTGGCATAATAAATCATTTCTGTCTACCGTAGTGCCTGAATTCACTGTAGGGCTCCTCAAAGCATTTTTTAAGGGCCAACTTCATTTAGCAGCCTTAATGACCTATCAAATGTGTCTAGGTTTGTGGAAGAGGTTCTGAGAAGTAGAAAATTAGCCTCCGTGAATTAGTGAAGATAAGGCAAACCTGGGAAATGACTTTCCTCTATGTCTAATGCCCTCAAGCTGTAGTCAGTCAGCTGGATTTGGGGATAAAGGGCCCAGAGCTCACAAAGCTACTAGAGAGTAAAACGTATTCAAAGGATTAGGAATAGTTCTGGAAGAAAACTGGGAACTTTAGCTATGTATTCCTATACCACATAAAGAATCCAGTCTCTCTGGGAAAACCCATTTTCTATAACTGGCCTCCCTTTTTGCACATACAATTATGGGTGCAATTACTGTCTTTTGGAAATTTAAGAACCTTATTTGAAGGTGTGCTGACACGTGTAGTTCAGTCCATATGTATTAAAAGAAAATGTTTAGGAATGCTTTTAGGACCAACTGATTAACAGTAGGAACCCATATTTGAAAATATGATTGTATGTGACTTGCCTAGGACCACTTTGGAGAAGGTAAGTCTTCTCTATCCCTATGACCCAATGCTTAGGCAAAGTTTCTTTCATTTTTCTCCGAAGTCAGTATTCATTTTCCTCTAAATATATCAGACAGCAGCTCCCCCAAATAATAGTCAGGTTCTCAATTTAGTTTGGCTTAAACCAAAGTGTTTTTATTGGCAATTTTACAAATAGAGAGATAGCACGATTAAATAAAAGATAAACACCTAAATGCCTAGACAAGTACTGCAGAAAGCCTCACTAGATTGGCATTACATTTAATGTTACAAAATATTGCAAAATCACCATGATTTATAGCATGGTGGGGATTGTTTAGTCTTTTACCCCGGTCAGAGAACACAGCACTTTGAGAGTCTGCTAAGCAGAAGCAATGAAGAGTCCTGTGGCACCTTATAGACTAACAGACGTATTGGAGCATAAGCTTATTCACCCACATAAGCTTATGCTCCAATATGTCTGTTAGTCTATAAGGTGCCACAGGACTCTCGCTTTTTTCAGATCCAGACAAACACGGCTACCCCTCTGATACTTGCTAAGAAGAAGACACTCTAGAAGTTCTCAAACTTCATTGCACCGCGACCCCCTTCTGCCCCAGGTGAGGGTGGAGCTTGGGCTTCAGCTTCAGCCCTGGGTCCCAGCAAGTCTAAGGCCTGCCCTGGTGCCCCCATTAAAATGGGGTCACACCCCACTTTGGGGTCCCGACCTACAGTTTGAGAACCACTGCTCTAAAGAGAATGTCTGTGGTAGCTTCTGCCATTCAGTTATAGCAACCTCCTCCTTCGACCCAAGACGGTTACTTTCCTTGGTGAGATATCTGCTCATCAATATGGAGTCAAAACAATATCAGCTTATGCAAAAAAATTGCTCTTTCTTTCAGGGCAATTTGAGTAGATTTTGTCCAGAAGTATTAATTTTCCCCAAGTCATTTATATACAACCATTATTCATTCTGTTGTAAGACTACCTCAAGTAGTAGTTAATCACTATGCAAATGAAAGTAAACTATTTCTATGCAGCCTCGCTAAATTATTTATACAGGCTTTACAAGTGTGCTAGGTACCTTAGAAAATATAAATGACATTGTGCCTGCCCAGAAGAGCTTACAATCTAATTTTGGACATGACACATCAGTGAGTCAGGAGGATCAGGGAAGACAGGACAAGGGTTACGGTACTTAGCTCATGCATTCACTCACATATGTTATGTGCACATCAGTATGTTTCCAGTAATTTTAAAGTAGATTTTTTTCCCTTCCCTTGCAAGCTACATTTTGTTGGGAAGTGTATATATCCAAGGTGATCAGAGTGAGGGAAATGGCTGGATATCTGAGAGTGGGAGAGGTTGAAAGGAGTTGAGAGGCAAAAAGGGGCACCGAAAGAAGGAAATAGAGGTGGGGCAAAATAGTAGGCTGGTGATAGGTATGGGAATTCCTCCCAAACACACTCCAATTCACAATTCTAAATCTGACATCCTACTTTTTAATGGACAAATAACACATTGCAGATTTTGCCACTGCATTTGTGCTCATGGGGAATGTATCATAATCTAACCGAAGATGAACATTCATGCTGTACCTTTGTTCTTGTGATTAAGAAGAATTAGATCTGTCAGAGGATTCTGAGTGCCTTTGGGTGGTAAGACATATACAGTGAGATGGGCTTCAATGTTCATTTTGCCTTAACTGGTGGTTTCTTTGATTTTTAGTGATTGTGTTGATACGAAATTCACATCAGCAACGCTAACTCTAAATTAACCAAGTTTTTTGTGGGGGTAGAAAAGTACTTGTTACATGTGCTAATGTAATTCAATTATGCATGCATCCAGCTTTTTCATATCTTCCACTGTGAGTAAAAGTCTTTATTAGTCTCATATCTTCATATTCTTGGTTAAATCCATTATTAAGAGTCATGGATGGTTTATCATAAATCCATTCGCTTGGCAAAGTGCAGATGCCATCTGTATTTCTTGAGTTGTTCCTATGCTTTTTACAGCACTGAAGAATCTGTTAAAAAAACCCACATCATTAAGCAATAAATAACACATTGTCATCAGATATGCCATTGCCTTAGAGACCATCAGCCTGACTAAACAAGAGTGGCTCCCCAAGAGTTCTGTTTGGATTCTGCGCTACTTGCAATGTGCCTGAGAAAATTGCAAGTGTAATGAAAGATACTCAATTCCTTTATGTAATGGGTAATTTTAAGCTTTAAAAACTGGCAGAATATTAAGATTATCATGATGACTTTAGAGTGATATACTGGCTACCATACAGTGGCTAATTGTTATATAATTTCCTGAGACCACAAGGGGAGTGAGTGGATGGAATTTGGGGACTTCTGGGGGTACTTTTTATCTAAAAAATTTGTGCAGAAAGAAAAGCAGGACATATTACTAAAAACTGCTACTGCCTTAAAATTTTGCAATGAAATACATTACATTAACACAACAATATACTACCAATCCTAAATGCAAAGCATTTCCAGGCAACGGGAAAAGTGTTTGCTTATATTGTACCGTCTGCACAACTAAGAAGTGACTAAATTAATATTCTGGATTGTGTTTGTGATCTTATTGAATACTTTTCTTCCCCCCAATTACTATTTTAAAACGTATTTCTGTACTATCATTTAAAAAAGGTAAGGGTTTGGGGGGTTTCTTAGGGACTTTAAAAAACTGTATTTGGAAGGGGGCAGGGGCATTGATTTAGGGTTTATGAAAGATGCCGGATTGACAACCACAGGCTTGTATGCACAGGAAGATGCAAAGGCATCATGTAGGTTTTCCCACATCATCCCACCAATATGCCTCAGCCTTGATCCGAAGTGATTCATGTCTCCATGAAAATTCATTTCTAGGCCTCTGCTGGGACTGCTAGTAAAGGTAACAGTGAATTTTATGCTGTGGAAAAAGGTTGACTCAGATCACCAGCCCCAGGAGTGCACCTAGCCATTCCAGGGCAGAAAACTTTTGTGGAGCCCCTTCCCTGACCTGTCCCCCAAGCCAAAAACCTACAACAAAAAACCCAACCACATGCCATCTACAGCCAGCCAATCAGCACAGGAAAAAAGTCAGAGCGGTCAGTTCGGAAAAACAACAATAAAAGTTGAGTGGCAGAGTGATATGATGCACCCTTGAAGTTGTTGCCCAGGGTGACTGACCTGCTTGCTCACCTGTAGAACCAGCCCTGACCAACTCATTCCATAGAAGCCATCCAAATGACTTGGTTATTACTGACCAGGGCTAGAGCTAGATTTGCAACAGTGACAGGAAGGAAAAAAGCACCTGATTCCATTACCAACTTTGAGTCATCCAGTTCCCTAAATTAATCCTTGTTAATAGTCTGTGATCTTATTCTGACACTATACATATACATTTCCATGGCATGAAATGGGACAGCTATCATTCAGGTAAAGAATGACTTTAAAAAGTTGTAAATACCTTCTCCATCTGATTATTTTCTTCTCTCCTTACACTCATATTATGAGTTGCTCCAGCCAGTGATGCCACCATTGAATTTAGGAGTGTTTATGCTGACTCCTTTTACAAAATCCAATGTGAAGCTGCTTTTGATGGGTTGTGCCTGTTCATCAAAGCATTCCCTGGCCTGGTATTACAGAATGCACACATCTCTTCTGCTACAGATGTTAGCTGGGTGTACTTTTTTTTTTTTTTTTTGGTTACATTCTGTTATTGTGGTTTGGTAGTAACAGCAACCAATAAAAAGCTTTTTAGAAAACTAGTCTGATTAGGTGGTGGATTAGATAAAATCAATGGCTTTTTACATCAAAGTTGTGTTTTCTCTCTTGACTTCCACTGTTTCTGATCCATATGGGTAACTAAAGTCCCTTTTCATCTGGCTGAGCACTGGTAGTAGCAGAAAGGCTCTTGGATTCTCTTCAAACAGCACAAACTGAACAGGTGAAAGATAGGGCTGTTGTGAATAAAAGTGCCCCCCACGCACACATTTAAATTGGGACATGCCTATTTGAGAAACTTCTTTTTCTTCACATAACACTCTTACAATTGAGGTGGGGCGATACGTGCTTGACCTGGAGCTCCCTCAATATAAAAGAGAGGGAGCGGCTGGCAGGCTGTTGTCTATAACAGCCTTTATGTTTCTGAACTTGTTGCCTCTTTGTCCAGAATAGCTTGAATTTGCTGACCTTCAAAATTGTTACACTGCACGAGCCTTCGTTTTACAAGGCAGTTTTTGCTGTAAAGTTTAGTCCTTGAACATCTACTTGTATACTCTTAATCGACCTTGAAAAGAAAGATGCTGTACAGTCAAGAAATGTCACTGGTTGTCTGGGCCCTTTCAGGGCAGGCATAGGTCCAATACATCCCTGCTCCACATTCTGCACCTTTAAGGACCAGCATTCTGTTAATTGTATGGTTTAGAGAGGTCTTGTGACTGCAGACAGAGTGAGCTGGGAAGAGAGAAGCAGGATTAAAATGAATAGTTTCATGTCTCACTGGGTGGAGCTCTCCAAGGACCAAAGGGCAGGACCAAGACCACCCAGCAATAGCTGCTTCCTTGCTGATAGGGAGCAGGGCAAGCCAGCACTTTGTAGCTAGGAAAGATGGATAAGCAAGCTGGAGAATGCTGAACACTTAGTGTGAGTAAGACATTATGTTAGGCAAAGCTACATTTTGCTAGAATTAAGTTTTAGACACTAGAATGTGTTAGTTTTGTTTGTAACCCGTTCATATCTTTTTCACTCTTGCTTGAAATCACTGAAATCTATGTTCTTTGTTAATAAACTTATTCTTACTTTTGCCATCTTAGTGCTGTGTATTAGGTTGAAGTGTATCACCCCAACCAAGCTAACAAGCTGTGGTGTGCCCTGGCTCTTTGGGAGCAGTGAAATTGGTGTTACCTCAGTCAGAGAGCCTGGACACTGCAGAAGAGAGGGTTTTGTGGAGACTCAGGACCAGAATGGCTGTTGGGGTCACCCTGCAAGGAGTAACTGGATTGGTGGAAGCTCAGGGTGAGATTTTTATGCTGTAGTGATGCTACTGGCATCAGGGCTCTGAGCCAAAGCTGCACAGCCTAAAGGCATCGAAGGCAACAGGGCAGGTGGTGACAGCACCCTGTTTCTTTGAAAGACATGCCCTGGTCTCTCCTCCAGATCACACATGAAATGGGCAAGGAATCTGGGTTCTACTTGTAGCCCTTCACCTGCTGGAAATTAAGGAGTGCCTTTATACAGGTTTGCCACATACTCACCCATCCCTTTTCATCAAAAATACCCCAGGAGCATATTTAGTTTTGTAATACTTATTTCTGAACGGTTACTTACAGAGAAAGCTATGATAATAACGGAGGAACAGATGCTGTATCCAAGAAGAAAGAACCACACCCACCACGTTTTATCATGTCTGATATTGCCATTGCATTTGGACTCTGAAATAAAGAAAGAGATATTTAAGTATGTAAAAACCAAAAAGGTGTTTGTTCGCTTTTCAGATGAGCTTTTTATGTGATGGATTAGATGGGGCTTGGTCATAGTTGGCTTCCTATTCATATTTATCACATTTTTTCACTAATTTTTCAGGCTAAGGGTTTGAGCCTCTTCTGGAGAGAATTATGAACAATTCCACTTGAAAAGTGTAAGATTTCTGAACATAATGATAACCTGATTATAAAATGGATGGAATCCTAAATTTCCAGTGAATTCATATATTCCAAGGCCAGAAGGGAACATTGTGATCATCTACTCTGGCCTCCTGAATAACACGGACCAGGGTGGCCAAAGTTACTGACCCTGTGAGCTGCATATGACAATTTTCAGGCATTCAATAGCCGGGGAGCACCTGCTGAGGCTCTGGGCTCAGGAGCTTCAGTCCCATGGGAGACACCTGCCAGGGCTCAGGGCTTCAGCCCTGCAGGGAGTGGAGGGTCTCAGGGCTTAGCCTCACAGGAGGTGCCTGTCCGGGCTCAGGGCTTCAATCCCGCTCCTGCTGAAGCCCAAAACCCCAGCAGGTGCACCCCCACAGGGCTGAATTGCTGAGATCCTCCTCCCTGTAGAGCAGAAACCCCTCATCCCACCACCCCACAGCAGGGCAGAAGCCCGAAGATCCACCCTCCCACCTGAGTCTGGTAGCAGAGAATGTTGAGGGGGTGTGGGAGGCTCTGTGAGCCGCACTTTAACTGTAAAAGAGGCACATGCAGCTTGCGAGCCACGATTTGGCCACCCACCGAACATGAACTTCCCCAAAATAATTCCTAAGGCATTGTTTTTTATAAAATATCCAATCTTGATTTAAAAATGGTCAGTGATGGAGAATCCATCCAATTAATGGTAAGATCTCTGAAAACCTCTTTGCAATGTGACAACAAACTGCTATCATAAAGAAAATAACCCACTTTCATGGCAACAGCTACTTCATTTAATTTCAGGCAATGTCTTTTCTAAAACAGAAATCATAGGGTAATGGTGCTCTACTATCCAAGAGAATTTATCTCAGCAGCCACTGAAAGCTGATGGAGCCTCAGCAAAATGCAATTGGACAGTCTGCTGAATATAGTGGGGACTAAAGTATTTGGCAGTTGTCTTGCATCAGCTAATCAACTGTCCAGTCAGATTTGCTTAGAGAATGCAGATGGGCGAAGGATCCGTGTTGTTTAAGAGACTGTTTCTCAATTGGTGGATCATGGATCCCAGAAGGGTCATGAAAGTCAATTGGGCAAGTGTCACAAAGCACTGAAAATTTTATTACAATCTAAAGCAAAGACACTTTCGCCCCACTTGATCCTTTTGGGTTAACTTCTAGAAACACACACACAAATTGTACTGGGTTATCATTGATATATATTTACTATAAAAGTAAGAGTAAAAAATGTAATGTGCATGGGACAAGAGTCACTTGCAGGTTTAAACTAGAGTAAATGGTGGAGTCTCTGTAACTTGAAGTCTTTAAATCAGCGGTGGGAAACCTGTGGCCCACAGGCCCATCAGGGTAAGCTGATGAGGGCCATAAGACATTTTGCTGACATTGACAGCCCCCCGCGGTTTGCCATTTCCTACCAATGGGAACTGTGGGAAGCGGTGGCCAGCACGTCCCTGTGGCCCGCCGCTTCCCACAGCTCCCATTGGCTAAGAACGGTGAACCATGGCCACTGGGAGCTGCAGGGGGCTGTGCCTGTAGATGGTCAATGTCAGCAAAATGTCTCGCAGCCCTCAATCAGCTTACTCTGATGGGCTGCTTGTGGCCTGCGGGCTGTAGGTTGCCCACCACTGCTTTAAATCATTGAGGGCTTCAGTAACTCAGCCAGAGGTTAGGGGTCGATTACAGGAGTGTGCAGGTGAGGTTCTGTGGCCTGCAACATGCAGGTCAGACATGACTATCATGATCTAGCCTTAAAATCTACTGGTGAGGGCAGGAGGGTGGCAATATATATATTTTATATATATATTGATTTTACAAGACTATTTGTGTGTGTGTGTTTATATATATATATATATATATATATATATATATATGT